GTGTAACTTGCGCCCCAGCATAATTTATTCCGTACCATGTGACCAGATCCTGCAAAGGGCCTATACACTGATTGGTCACACTAGGAAAGCGCAAAGAAGATATGCCATGCTGCTTAGGAATAATGTTTGAGCGTGCTACGTTACGTCAGTAAGAGACCACTGCTTATTCTGCTAATAGCTACAATATCATCTACACTTGTTTCATTTTTTTTCTGTAGTGCCACGCTCTACCTACTCCGGTCGTCAGCTGTTGGTGGGGTACTGGGGACAAAACGGAGCTGGACCTGCTAATGGGCCGGCAAACTACGAGAAACCGCTGTTCGAAGTGTGTCAGACAACGAAGTACGACATTCTTGCCGTGTCCTTCGTCATAGTGTTCTTTGATTCAAGGAATAAAGGCCGTACGTATTGCTACGCTTAGTCAGTTTATACATGTGTGCTTTCCTTTCCGCTGTGCTTATCCTTTAAATTCATATGATCACATATTATATGCTTACAAGTCTACAATTAAAGCAATACACAACGCCCCCCACAGATACGCCGAAATGCACATTATCATAAAAGTTATTTTCGCCCAAAGTTTATCGATTAACAGATAAATGGCAATTATGTTAAGATGAAAGAACGATTTTTTATAGAGTGTCGTGAAACCAAAACCACTAAGTAATCACTCCAGCTAATCACAAAGGACACGAACAATCAAACGAACCTATCAAAACTCTTCCTGATTTACGATATCAATCAGTAGCACAAGCAATATGGTAGTGTTGCAATAGAAACCCATACCCTTTTATCCCCTGCAACACAGGATTGTTTGAAAAACCATTCTTCATCTTCTTATTAAGAAATCTGTGGGTAAAGATTTCCCCGTGATATGTATATCCGATGATTCGCTAATTTGATTCTACTCCAAAGTTCCTGCGCTCAACTTCGCCTACCACTGTGAGACTCCAGTTTCCCCGGAGTATCCATTCCTACTTCGATGCCCTGAGATCGAGAAAGGAATAAAAGAATGCCAGAAAAGAGGAAAAAGAGTCTTGATGTCTATTGGTGGAGCGACTGGGGATGGCACTCTGCCCGATCCTGACAAGGCCAGAGAATTTGCACGTACACTGTTCGACTTGTTTCTGGGAGGTAGTGGCTATCAAAAAATAAGGCCTTTTGGGAGGTACGTTCAGATTTTTTTGGTGTGCATCAAGGTGGAAGCAGAGGCAATTGTAAAGGGCGCTGCCTTCAAATCTTAAGCTTCTCTTTCATTCCCCCACCCCGCCCCCTTCAGTTGAAAAATATAGCAATATAGCACCGAAACGTTTCTTCACCTTCCCTTCACTTCCCCTTAATAGAGCAAAAAGACATCCTTAGTCTTATCTTCCCTCATCCCATTTCTTCGAATGACCTCATTTTACCGAAATGAACACTATAACTTCTGTCTCATTGGTGAGCCTAAATGCTACTGTAGTTCAGGGACTGGATGGGGTTTCCGGATTTTTTTCTTAGCAGTTAAATATTAGGGTCAGTTCTTAACCCATTTCAGAGCTATCAATACACTATGCAGATTTAAGGTGTCAAGGGACAGTTAATCATCACATCAATTCTCAGCTGACATTTCACATTTTGACCAATTCTCAATTATCAGTTTAATCCCATCCAGACCCTCGTAGTTCTTAGGTGTGTAAATGAACGTGAGTGACCACCCACTCCCATCCCCACCCCCAAATCAGTTGTTGTAACTTCCAACGAGAAACCTTGTTAGTGTTATTCGAGGGTCCCCAAGTCTCCGGGTGATGGACTTTATTTGTTGTATTTTATTTTTAGCGCTGTTATGGATGGTATTGACCTGGATATCGAGGGAGGTGACTACAAATACTACCCCGAGTTTATAACTGAATTGCGCACGCTCATGGATAATGACCAGTCAAAGGGCTACCTGATCACGGGCGCACCCCAGTGTCCATACCCCGATCATCACATGGGACCTGAGAAGCCTGGATCTGGTAAGGAGCTAACTGCACACGTGAAACTGTTAGCGTGGAAACAAAATAGCCAAGAACAGTGCTTAACTTGCAAACTACACTTCAATCTCTTTAACATATATTATCTAGAAGCTCATTTACTGAACGTGTACCTCTTATTAAAAAATAGCAACATTTTTTTAAGTTAAAGGTTCTTTGATTCAGCATGTAACCTTTCTTTATATTATATTGTTTCCAGGATTGGAGGAGGCTGGGCAACACGTTGACCATCTTTACATACAATTCTACAACAACTACTGTCACACAGGCGCTGGCAACTGGTTCACTGAAACTTTGGATAAATGGCTGGCGTTTTCAAAGAGAATGAAACCACATGGACNAGAAAGGAATAAAAGAATGCCAGAAAAGAGGAAAAAGAGTCTTGATGTCTATTGGTGGAGCGACTGGGGATGGCACTCTGCCCGATCCTGACAAGGCCAGAGAATTTGCACGTACACTGTTCGACTTGTTTCTGGGAGGTAGTGGCTATCAAAAAATAAGGCCTTTTGGGAGGTACGTTCAGATTTTTTTGGTGTGCATCAAGGTGGAAGCAGAGGCAATTGTAAAGGGCGTTGCCTTGAAATCTTAAGCTTCTTTTTCATTCCCCCACCCCGCCCCATTCAGTTGAAAAATATAGCAATGTAGCACCGAAACGTTCCTCAACCTTCCCTTCACTTCCCCTTAATAGAGCAAAAAGACATCCTTCGTCTCATCTTACCTCATCCCATTCCACCCCGGAATGAACACTAACACTTCTGTCTTATTGGTGAGCCTAAATGTTACTGGAGTAGCTTGTAGTTCAGGGTCTAGATGGGGTCTCCGGATTTTTTTTTTCTTAGCAGTTAAATATTAGGGTCAGTTCTCAACCCATTTCAGAGCCGCTATCAATACGTTATGTAGATTTAAGGTCAGTATCAAGTGACAGATCATCATCACATCATTTTTCAGCTGACATTTGACATTTTGACCAATTCTCAACTATCAGTTTAATCCCATCCTCACCCTCTTAGTTCTTAGGGGTGTAAATGAACGTGAGTGACAACCCACCCTCATCCCCACCCCCAAATCATGCAGTTGTTGTAACTTCCAAAACGAACCCCTATCAATGTTATATGAGGATCCCCAAGACTCCAGGTGATGGACTTTATTTGTAGTATTTTATTTTTAGCGCCGTTATGGACGGTATTGACCTGGATATCGAGGGAGGTGACTACAAATACTACCCCGAGTTCATTACTGAATTGCGCACGCTCATGGATAATGACCAGTCAAAGGACTACCTGATCACGGGCGCACCCCAGTGTCCATACCCCGATCATCACATGGGACCTGAGAAGCCTGGATCTGGTAAGGAGCTAACTGCGCACGTGAAACTGTTAGCGTGGAAACAACGAAGCTAAGAACAGTGTTTAATTTACAAAGTACACGTCATTCTCTTTAACACATATTATCATGTGAGAAGCTCATTTACTGAACCTGTACCTCTTATTAAAAATAGCAACATCTTTTTAAGTTAAAGGTATTTTGATTCAGCACGTAACCTTTCTTTACATAATGTTGTTTCCAGGATTGGAGGAGGCTGGGCAATATGTCGACCATCTTTACATACAATTTTACAACAACTACTGTCACACCGGAGCTGGCAACTGGTTCACTGAAACTTTGGATAAATGGCTGGCGTTTTCAAAGAGAATGAAACCACATGGACCGTTGATTTTTATTGGCATGCCTGCGGCTACAAAGGGAGCAAGTGGAGCACACTTCTACAGGCCACCGGCTGAGCTGACTACCTTATACCAGGTATGCGGTCGGTATAGGATGGACATATTCATAACACCCAAAGAAAAATGATAATTACGTA